ATATATATATATATATATATATATATATATATATATATATATATATATATATATATATATATATATATATATATATATAGATATATAGATGTGTGGATTGGCATAAGTAACAGATGGTATAAGTCACAAGGCTTTCTTTGTCTGAGAGCTCTGGAATGTGGATGTGGGGGTTTTGTCCTTATATGGCTAGAGTTAAATGCTGACGTTAGGATGAGCACATGTATATAGAAACAGAGGGACACAAGGTCGGTCTTGGTTCTTGGCTCTGTACAACGATGTAACTCTCCCAACAGAAGTACAGCAATTACCATCTGCTGTTGAATGTCCATTATCCTGTAACATCATTTGTTGTTTTATTATGTATCTGTAACTAAGAATAAACCTGAAGAAACCGTAAGTCAGATTGCGTATTAGTACTTTTCAATAATATACAAAAGACGTGTATATATATATATATCAATCAACTGAAGACAAGAAGAAATTAAGAAGATTTAACAGTGACAATCGATTCCAACAAGATTTTACATACCTGCTGACAATTTTACCAGTTTAGAAAGCTTCAATTTTAACAGCTCTTTAAAGGGGCAGTTGAAACAAACTTGATGATGTGTATCAAAACATCTAAGCAGAAATAGTTGAGACTATTTGTTATACTATAGGTTCTCTGAACTACTTTTCAATTGTAAATTTATACTGCACGACTGAATTGTAGAGAGGTTATTTTCAGGAGACAGTGGGCTTCAAGTTGTAATTTATATGTTCTCTGAACATTTAGAAAAATTGCACTTTGTAGAGTATAATAATTTCTCCAATTTTGTGGTCTTACAACTTTAATTTCTAATTTTTCTAAAGACCTGTGACTTTTTTTTCCTCTTGCAGTCTCCATTTTTACTAATGGCTCAGTCTTCTCAACTGATTCAGACATAACTTTGTTTGTGTTAACTGAAGAAAATGGTCCATTTAATTTTAGTTGGGATTTTGGAGACCAAACAACATACAGAACAATGTCCAGAAGCACATCCAAACGATATTCTGTTCCTAACAGGTTTGTTATTAAGAATGTAAGACTAAAGAATGTAACTGCAAAAATTAAAGTATGTATAGTTTCTGGTTTACCCTCTATTAACAATGTGTTTTTCCTTTAACCCTTCATGACAATAGATGGATTGGTGTAGCCTAGGTTTAGATTTGTTATGGTGATTTCAAATCTGTTCTGTTGCCCCAAATGCAACACAGACTCCACAGCAATACTCCTTATTTCCAAAACTGAACTGGGCATGCTAATTTAGTGTAACTTGAACCAACTGCCAAAGATATAAATGAGGATTATTGCTGAAATCTAGACATATAATGAAACATTTTTTTTCTGCAGACCCATATGAAACACACAGCAAAAGTGAAGGTTGTATAATGTGTGTGGGAAAACACAAAAAATATTACAAGACAACTTGATGGGCCCTGATGATTAAATGTTTGAATTAAAATGTCAAAATGCCACTTTGTAAATTATCTGCGGTGTCTACGTTTTAAAATAGATACTTTTTGCTTTGTTTTGTCTTGTTTTCCATAAAGTACTTTCTTACCCACTACAGTTAACCATTTGGCCTAGATAAAAGCTATTCACACCAGTCACACAGCCAGTGAATATATAAAATGTCAATCGTGGGGGGCGTGGCTTGGCAGCCGACGAAAATGGCCGCATAAACTTTTCCTCTGCCCGGGTCCCGACTAGCCAGCACCAAATCGCCTGCTACTCTGCCGACATGGGTAGATCAAATAGAGCCCCACAGACTGGGACGACCCCAGAGCCGAAAAAGGGACAGCTTACTTCGTCTCTGTGCCAGTTCCTGGTGACCCCCGCAGACCTCACGACACAGCTGCATGGCGCCGACGGTTCAATGGCGTCGGAAGATTCCGCGCCTTCATCGCCGGCATCCGACCTGCACACGGGAGGCTCTGAAAGACCCCCATGGATGGACCTCCTGAGAGCTCTGCCCACAAAGGAAGACCTCCGCTCAGCCACCTCAGAGCTGGGAGCTACAATAAGGAAAGTCATTCAGGCACTGAGGGCTGACATGCAGGGCCTGACAGACCACGTGAGTCACATGGAGACAGCCTGTGACAGCCTGAGAGCGGCCCAGAACACACTGGCAGAGGCTGCAGACACATGCTAGGAACAGGTACATGGCATGGCACTACACATTGAGGACTTGGACAACAGGGGGCGCCGCAATAACTTAAAGCTGAACGGCCTCCTTGAAACTGAGGACTCCCCCCAGCAACTACAGGAAAGCCTTCTGGAAATATTTGATGGGATACTAGGCGGTGACCACCAGGCACCTATAGAATTTGTAAGAGCTCATAGAGCCCTCCGTCCTAAGAGCACACCAGATAGCCCACCCAGGGATGGCCAGATCCATCCGAGACCGGCGCTGCTGCAACGCACTCAATGAGGACGCCAGGAGGCCACTAGGCCTACAGGTACTGCCCGCTAGAGGGCATGACTTCCCCCCTCTCCCCCCCACCGCGCCCGGCCCTTGCCGCATTCACACCAACTTAGCCATCCCTAGGGCACAGAGAGGACTTGGACACTGTCCCCTGGTACAAACTTGGCCAAACTACAGATTGGACACCTCATATTGGATTCTTTCCCTTCCACCCTCAGAGCAGCACCTCTTGCCGGGCTGCGCGAACAGTTGCTGGGCCATATTCCACCTACAGCCAAGCCACACAGAGGCGTCACCATGGACATAAGGGCCCGTCTGCCCCGATGGGGTGGGTTGGGGGACGTGGCCCAAGGGACTGTGGTACTTGGTAGTGCCCGCAAATGTTGGCATTGGCCCGCTGGGGGTGCCTACTGCGCTGTCTCGCGTGGCCCACGTGCCTGCACATGCTAAAATTGCCTACCTCATTGTATTTAACACCGTATATGTGCCTGTGCATGCAAAAATTATTTACTGCATTGTATAGACCACTGTATATGCGCTGGCTAAAACTATCCACTACGCTTTATAACATGGTATAGGCTCCTACACATGCTAAAATTGTCTACTGCATTGTATAGACCACTGTATATGTGCCTGCGCATACTTAAATTATTTCTTGGTTGGTATATAATCCTGTATACATGCCCGTGCATGCTAAAATTGTCCACTGCATTGTATATAACATGGTATAAGCACCTGCATATGCTAGAATTGTCTACTGCATTGCATAGACCACTGTATATGTGCCTGCGAATGCTAAAATTGTTTCTTGGTTAATATATAACCCTGTATACACGCCCGTGCATGCAAAAATTGTCCACGGCATTGTGTATAACACAGTATATGCGCCTGCACATGCTAAAATTGTCTACTGCACTATCTATACCACGGGTTATGCACTTGCGCAAGTTCAAAATGTCTATTGGTTCGTACATAAAGCTGGATAGGCGCCAGAGTATGCTACACTGGTGTACTGCTTTGTATATCACATTGTATAAGCACCCGCACACACAGCTCAGAGACGAGCTGACCCCAGAGCAACAAGATCCACCACCACATTGATGGGTGAACCCAAAAGGGGGTCAATAAACTGGGATGCCCTCATGGGGGACACAAGCTTTCCATAACACCTCCAGAGATGGAGGGACTGCACTACGGGGCTACACTATCGCACATAAGGGAACAGGTGGGGGGGTATGCCTCTTGGGGGTCGGAGCATGGGGGGCTTACCCGTAACCTAGACATATCAGCTGTAGAAAGGGAGTTAAGCCCTGGTTCGGTTTATACACCTCTCCTTCAGACTAGACAATGTCGGGACCCGGGGGTGAGTTCCCGCAGACACACAAAAGTAACACCGAGAGGTCATAGTTCC